TTGCCATCGTCTATCAGCCCAACCCTACTTTCAAACATTTTGCTGCAATTATAAATCGTCTTGAGGTAGTTCATTATGAGGTGATTTACCTTTTATGTGTGATTTGATTGGACGGGAATCACAGGACTGATTTTTCTAATCACCATAGACAAGAGGCAATACAGTAGTGACTGGAGGTTGAAGAAAAGTAGTGGAGTAAAAGTAGCGATACTGCACTAAACATGTACTTAAGGGAAAGTACATTTATAAAACTACTTAGTAAATTACTAAGTACTCTGTTACAGTAAATTAAGTATATTTAATTTGTTACTTTACACCACAGGTAACTATCTTGGTACTTCGTGTTTCCAGTATAGCGCTGTGACCTGAAATGTTTGGAGCTTCCTCACTTGCAAATCAGAGAGACTCTGTCTGAAGAATTACAAATTACCTATTTTTTGGTCAGCCAGGGGATGAAACTAAGGCAACATAATCGTTCTCCTAACTGTTCACTGCTAAAAAAAAATGTAAAAAAAAAAATGACACGACCTCAGGACCGGAGCAAGCTTAACTGCCGCTCTAGGCAAAGAACGGTCACGCCGCCCACAACCCTAAAGTGATGGGGGCGAGGGAGCTGTTGCAGAAGCCGCCCTCTCTATTCTGCCGCTCTAGAGGCGGATATAACTGAGGGCACGGGTGGTGAGGGTAGTGTCGCGGACGCCGCTCTCTCTATTCTGCTGCCCTAGACGCGGATATAACTGAGGGCACGGGTGGTGAGGGTAGCATCGCGGACGCCGCCCTCTCCATTCTGCTGCCCTAGACGCGGATATAACTGAGGGCACGGGTGGTGAGGGTAGCATCGCGGACTCCGCCCTCTCTATTCTGCTGCCCTAGATGCGGATATAACTGAGGGCACGGGTGGTGAGGGTAGCATCGCGGACGCCGCCCTCTCTATTCTGCTGCCCTAGACGCGGATATAACTGAGGGCACGGGTGGTGAGGGTAGCATCGCGGACGCCGCCCTCTCTATTCTGCTGCCCTAGACGCGGATATAACAGAGGGTGCGGGTGGTGAGGGTAGTGTCGCGGACTCCGCCCTCTCTATTCTGCTGCCCTAGACGCGGATATAACAGAGGGCGCGGGTGGTGAGGGTAGTGTCGCGGACTCCGCCCTCTCTATTCTGCCGCTCTAGACGCGGATATAACTGAGGGCGCGGGTGGTGAGGGTTGTGTCGCGGACGCCGCCCTCTCTATTCTGCCGATCTAGACGCGGATATAACTGAGGGTGCGGGTGGTGAGGGTAGTGTCGCGGACGCCGCCCTCTCTATTCTGCTGCCCTAGACGTGGATATAACTGAAGGCGCGGTTGGTGAGGGTAGTGTCGCGGACGCCGCCCTATCTATTCTGCTGCCCTAGACGCGGATATAACTGAGGGCGCGAGAGGTGAGGGTAGTGTCATGAATGCCGCCCTCTCTATTCTGCCACCCTATGTCCCCTCTATGGATGCACCGGCCCCCAACGAAGCTTGTGGAGGCATCCTTGTTGGGAACTGCCGCACTATGGGGGAAACTGGAGCACCCGGAAGAAACCCACACTAACACGGGGAGAACATGCAAACTCCACACAGAAACACCAACTGACCCAGCAACCTTTGTGCTGTGAGGCCACAGTGCTAACCACTGAGCCAACGTGCCGCCCAGGGCTACACTCAAAATAAGTAAACACACAGTAACTGTCCAGAGTCTGTCGCCCCCAAAGTAAATCATTAGGAATTTTGAGCAGATAGATATATAAACAAATGGAAGTATCGTGGTTTATTGTTAGATTATGGCGTGCTTCCTGATGTCATCCAAACAAATAACTTCTTTTAGTATTTATTAAGCAGTTCTTCTTCATTCAGTCTGGGCACATCTTGCTCTGTGCGTGTGATTCTTTCTTCTTCATAATGTGATTGTGTCTGCTCTGCACATGCTCGTTTGTCTTCATTCCTGCCTCATGCTGTTTGGCTCACTGAGCGGAGCTGAAGGGAAACTCCATCTCTTGAAACACTCTCAGTGCTGTTTCTCCTGGCTCTCGCACACCTCTTGTTTCCCGTTCTGTTATCATCGTTCCCCTGGGTACAATGGCCAGCTTCTGTTGCTGTAATTTGGAGTGGGATGGAGATGGATTATGTGTGTTTTAATGAAGCGTGAGACTGAAGCGCAGTGGGTTTCTCTTGTGTCGTAGATTAGCGCTGAGTTCTGATGCGTTCGTCCCTTGTGAGCATTTCCAGCAGATGTTTGCTGTTTCTGGACCGTTTCACGGCGGAGATGAAGCGAGAGCCCAATGCAATGAGACACCCAGCGCACGTCCCAGCCATCGATCCCATATAAAGGGCTTCTTTACGAGATGCCCCGGCTCTGGCCTTTGATTAATATCAAATGGCTTTTCTTTCGGACTTTTCTCTCCCGGAGCATACAGGAGGGAATGAAGCGGATGAGTTTGTGTGTTTTTTCCGCACACATCGATGCTGGAATCGTATTTAACAATTTTCCTGCGCAGACAGAGCATCAGAATGTTTGAGACCCGGAGCGAGAGGTCTCGCTGAGTGCATGTGCTAAACTGTTTCATCAAATCAAAACAAGAAGAGGTCGTGTTATATTGGCCAGAAATCTTTAGCCGTGAAACCACAACAGTGGATCGATATTCACAATTTCATACGGCCTGGAGTGCTTTCAGTACTGCAACAGAAACAGTGCTGCAAAAATACATCTCTCATTAAAAAGTTTCCCTACACAGCTGAAGCCAGAACTGCGCTCTGAATATCAATGCAAACAAGAACGAGCAAAGACTGAAACTGTTCACTAGAGGAGCCAAGATGGGTGGATGAGTGGATGGATGGATGGATGGATGGATGAATGCATTTATGTGTTGGTGGATGGATGAGCAAATGCGTTGGTGGATGGATAGATGGATGGATGAATGTGTGGATGGATGGATGCGTGGGTGGATAGATAGATAGATGGATGTGTGGATAGATGGATGGATGGATGGATGCGTTGGTGGATGGATAGATGGATGGATGGATGTGTGGATGGATGGATGCGTGGGTGGATAGATAGATGGATGTGTGGATAGATGGATGGATGGATGGATGGATTGGTGTGTTAGGATAGATGGATAGATGGATGGATGGATGTGTGGATGGATGGATGCGTGGGTGGATAGATAGATAGATGGATGTGTGGATAGATGGATGGATGGATGGATGGATGTGTGGATGGATGGATGCGTTGGTGGATAGATAGATGGATGTGTGGATAGATGGATGGATGTACTGGTGGATAAATAGATGGATGTCTGGATGAATGGATGGATGCGTTGGTGGATAGATAGATGGATGTGTGGATAGATGGATGGATGTACTGGTGGATGAATAGATGGATGTCTGGATGAATGGATGGATGCGTTGGTGGATGGATAGATGGATGGAGGGATGGATGTGTGGATGGATGGATGCGTTGGTGGATGGATGTGTGGATGGATGGATGCGTTGGTGGATAGATAGATGGATGTGTGGATAGATGGATGGATGTACTGGTGGATGAATAGATGGATGTCTGGATGAATGGATGGATGCGTTGGTGGATAGATAGATGGATGTGTGGATAGATGGATGGATGTACTGGTGGATGAATAGATGGATGTCTGGATGAATGGATGGATGCGTTGGTGGATGGATAGATGGATGGAGGGATGGATGTGTGGATGGATGGATGCGTTGGTGGATGGATGTGTGGATGGATGGATGCGTTGGTGGATAGATAGATGAATGTGGATAGATGGATGGATGTTCTGGTGGATGGATGGATGGATTTGTGAGTGGATTGATGGATGTGTTGTTAGATAGATG